GGGAGGGGGAGCGTGGCCTCGGGAGCCCTGTTGGGAGTCTGTCGCGCTTCTCTGCCGCCTGCCTCTACCTCCCACGTTGGTTGGATTCCCAGACTGCCGCCTGAGTCTGCCGTGCTGTGTCATGCTTCCAGCCCTTGACGATGCCGGGCTCTCTGCTGGGGGTGCCGTTCCCCTCCCAGTGCGCCTGGCAGACGCTCTCTGGAAAGGCGGCCACCGACCCGCAGAGGTCGGGACTGTCACTGTGCCCGCAAGGCGCTCTGATCTTAGGATAGCAGAGAGGGTGTGTGTGTTCGAATCTGGATCTGCCCCTTGGGGCTTCGGCTAAGCTCAGGCGTGGGACTTCTCTGTACTGCAGCAGCCCCCACAAGGTCTGGGATTATTCCGGCGCTGCTCCTTTCTAGCAGTGTGACCTTGGCAAGTCACTTAACGAGCCACTCTGCGCTCCCAGTTCCCGTTTCTGAAAAGAGGGCATGGTAATAATGTGTGTTTGCTGCTGTTATACCTCAGCCTCACACTGCCCAGCAAAGAGCAGCAGGCACCTGATGCTTGCTGGAGGATGGACAGTTACTGGACGGAAAACCCTACCTCTGAGGAGCGTTTTTTCATTCAAACGTGTTTTGCTTTCCATTGGCTATGGGCACCCAACCCTCCCGGGCCAATTTCCACAGACAAGGTAAGAAAGGAAGTGCCACCAGGGAGCAGACCACAGCAGCACAAGGTTTCTTCAGGAGAGGTTGTCCTCTCCTTACCAGGCCTCACATGATGGTGGCACAGTGAGACTGGCCTGGCATGGGGTGTCAGCAGGCAAGCCAAAAGGCCTGTGATCTCAGGGGTGGAGGGCACAGCTTCCTGCCTGTCTCCTCCTCTCTGGTGTCTCACAAGCTGCTGCTCCAGCACCTTCAGCAACTCAGCATGCCTCGTGCCGTTCAGATGAGCCCTGCGTGCTTTACAAGTCATTTGACAACCATTCACCCACCAAATGCTTTTTGAGCACCTCAGCACAGTTGCCCCAATGGTGGGCCAGGCGGATACACCCTCTACCCCCAGGTGGCAGTCTAGAGCAGGGGTCTCTACCTGGAGCTGTCCAAACCAACTAGAGGGCTTGTTGAACACAGATTGGGGTTCTGGTTCTGATTTGTAGATCTAGGTGGGGACTGACATTTTGGCATTTCCAACAAATCCCCAGGTGATGCTGATGCTGCTGGTCTCAGGACCCCATTTTGAGAACCACTGGCTTACAGGAAGGAAACAGACATTAATCAAATAATCACACAAGGAAATAGACCAACCATAAATAGTGATACGTACGACGGAGTGGACCAAAGGTGGGATGTGTGAAAGTTGAGTGGGTATGCAGTGATGGTGGGGGGCTGGAAGGCAGCACAGGCAGAAGGAACTGAGGCATCAAGGACCTTGGTGAGACTGAGGGCCTGGAGCTCAGAAAGCAAGACAGAGGGGGCTCAAACAGAGGGGCTCAAGATGAGGCCAGATCACGCATGGTCTTACAGGACACCCTGTGTGAAGAGCAATGGGAAGCCCCCAGAGGGTTTGGAGCATAATCAGATTTCTGTTCTAGATGGGGACTCTGAATGCAGTGGGCAAGGTGGAAAAGGCATAGATAGAAGTGAGAGATCTAGCTGGAAAGATGTAGAAAGATCCAGGTAGGGGTGATGAAGGCTTGTAACTGCCTTGAGTGCTTTATCAGTCCATGTTCCATAAGGATAAGAGAAGTCATTCTAGGCATATCAAATGGAGGAGACTGAATACAGAAGATTGAGTATAAAAGCATTGGAAATACTGAAGGAACTAAAGCGGAAGGTGAGGTTCCCTGAAGATTAGCTGGAAGATCAAAAGGGAAATGTATGACCCAAAACCCACAATCACTGTGCCCCAGTAGGAATGCAGATGCTGACCCTTGCCAGCCACAGCTGCTTTTGCCATTGTTGTTAAAGTTACTGCTCCTGTTGCCACCACCACCTAAGGCACTGGCAGAAGCCTGAAAAAAACAGCTTCTCCACTCCTCCTGCCTTCCAACTTCCTTCTGGTAGAACATCATGGGAAGTTGATAAGGGTGTCTGGGAAATGCAGTGAGTGGGCTTCCAGCCCCAACATCAGACAGTCTAGGAGGGTGGTGGCAACAGAAACTCTCCAGCATTGTCTTGACCAGAAACAGGCTTCAAGGTGTATGTGAGTCCCACATGGCCAGCAGCAGATCCCAAGTGGCTTGGTATTCCCTCTATTACTGTGGTTACTGCACTGGCCAGTGATCAACTGTCCTGGCCCCTCTCTCACCAGAGTCCAGAGCTGCTCTGTCCAACTCAGTGGCCACTCACCACATGTGGCTAGTTGCATTGTTAAATCAAATTAAACTAAACTTGGCCTGAGAAAGCCTCCGTACTAGCATACTTGAGTTGTTATATAATGAACTGCAACCTGACTTAATGTAAGATAAACTGAAAACCTAACAGGAGTGTGCTTCTGTAACTAGAGCCACCTCCCACAACCAGGCACACTGCCAGCACCTTGGGGCCCACCCCGGGACCTGAGGTATGCAGCCAGGGACCAGAACCCCCTCCCACAACCAGGCACACTGCCAGCACCTCAGGGCCCAACCAGGGTCCTGAGGCACAGAGCCAGAGACTGGATCCCCCACAACCAGGCACATCGTCAATGATAAGGAGCATGCCAAAAACATCACCTCTGTGTGGGTGGCCCACCACAGCCACCACAGTAACCATGGCTGCCATGAAAGTAGCTAGATGTCACAACCACCATGTAGATGGTCCACCAGCCACTGGAGTGCATTGACACAAGGAGAGTCACCAGCAGAGACCAAAGAAAAGAAGAGGAAGTCTCTCTCCACAAAGCCCATTCCAGAGTAATAGAAGAAGCATCTGCTCTATGATAATATTGGGGGACCTGAACACACCTCTCAGCATTGTACAGATCATCTAGGCAACAAATCAGCAGAGTAACCATTACTCTTTCAAAAGAAGAGAAGAAATCTAGGGTTATTGGAGATGGGAGGGGGGAGGGAGAGGGGGATAGGGAGAGATTGGACAAGGAGCATAAAGAATAAATATAATTTGTAACAATATATATACTGGTAATATTGATTTGATCAACATATGTCAACATTGAACCCCCAAAATATGTATAATCAATTGTGATTCAATAAAAATTAAAAAAAAAAAAAGAAGAAAGAAAATCTAACTTAGGAGTATGCTTCTGTAACAAATAGCTGAATCTCAGCCAATCACAGGCAGCTAACTGTTCAAACTGTGTTCCCATGAGGCAAATGCCACGATGTAACCAATCCAGCTATGTCTGAACCTCACTTGCATTTCTGTATGACAAGTTCCCTTTCCTGTCCATAAATGTTATCCAACCATGCAGCAGTGCCAGAGTCTTTCTTAACCTGTTTGGGTTCTGGGGGCTGCCCTAATCATAAATCATTCTTTGCTCAATTAAACTCTGTTAAATTTAGTTTTTCTAGGGGGCTGGCCAGTTAGCTCTGTTGGTTAGAGTGAGGTGTTATCACACCAAAGCCAAGGGTTCGAATCCCCTTACTGACCAGCCACCAAGAAAATTAATTGATTGATTTAATTTGTCAGAAGTTTTTCTTTTAAGAAAGCTGAAATTGAAATTCACTGAAATGAAATAAGACTAAAAAGTCATTCCTCAGTCCCACTAGCCATATTTCCAGGGCTCAACAGCGACCTGTGGCAAGTAGCTACAACACAGATAGGAAGACCTCCATCTTTATAGAAAGTTCTCACAGACAGCTCTGCTCCAGACAAAGATACCCGCAGAGCCTGAGCCAGTTGGATGCATCTTTATACAGCAATTGTTACCAGCGCTCTCCCTCCAGGCCTGCCTCTGCCTCTTCTTCCCTTACTAACTTCTCACCCTGTTCAGAGGTGAAAGAGGTAGGCAGCTTTTGAATGCCACCCCTGCACTACTAGGAAGGAGACCACCTCTCATTAATTGGAGTGATAACCCCCAATTAATGGTGAAGGCCGATGTGGCCATCAGCTGAAAAAGTCCAACCGTGAAAGTCTGTCAACCTTGGCCAAAGTGAGAACAAAACTTCACTTCCTGGGCAGACTTTTCAAACCAATCATCTCTCAATATGCTGACTTATTCAGCTTATTCATATATAGCATCACTGGACTCCAGATTTCTAGTGTGATATATTGGATTACTTTCAACACAAGTTTCTGTGTGAAAATGGGTCCCTTCAAAAAGAAGACTGCTCTGTGTGACCTTTTTTTTTTTTTTCCTTTTTGTCTTTTTTACTGACCGGTACGGGATCGCAACCCTTGGTGTCGCGCCCGCGCAGCGCTCAGCCAGTGAGCGGGAACCGGTCACCACATGGGATCCGAACCCTCGGCAGGAGCGCCACCGCGCTCCCAAGTGGCACACTCTCCAGTGCGCCACCGGGCTGGCCCTCTGTGTGACTTTTAAAAAAGCAAATTGGGGGCTGGCTGGTTAGCTCAGTTGGTTAGAGCATGGTAATAACAAGGTCAAGGGTTCGGATCCCCTTACCGGCCAGCTGCCAAAAAAAAAAAAAAATTATTTCAAAGACAAAATTTAAACTGGGAAATTATCATTGTCACTTGAGAAAACAGAGTTCACTCTGCTTTCTTAGGGAGAACTGATAGCTACAGAAGTAGGTCATGTGGTGAAAAGGTCAATCAACTTCTTTATCACCTCACAGAGACCCAGATTCTCTATAAATAACCAATATTTGAGTGAAGCCCACAAAACCTTTTGATACCAAAGATGTGTAAAGATCTCATATTAGAAAAGCTTCGTATCTGTTATTGGTGATTTACAGCCAGAAGAAATAAAGCATCATTCTTTTTCAAAAGAAGTTTTACCAACTTTTATTTTATAAACCACATTTTGGGGGTTAAGAAAAGAGTGTCATATATTTGGCCAGACTCTTGCTGGCCTCTGGCTTCCAGCGCTCACATCTGTTGAGAGGAGACTTCTGCGTGTATGGGGGTCATTGGGGAAAATGTGACCGACCCCACTGAGAAGCATGGGAACATTTTTCAAAGAAAATTAGACCGATAACCATGTAAACATTTGGGCTTTTAAATGTAAATTAAAGTAGAAGAGAGGTTTTACCAGTCAATTTTATCTATAATGGGGAGGACTAAAGTTCATCCCGCCTGTGAAATCTACTGAAATGATTTTCATGTCCATTAAACTTTCGTACCATCAGCTCCTCCTCATCTTCCTCACGGGCTTTTTTCATTTCCTCCTTGGCCTGTATAGCATCCATCTCCCTTTCTGGGCCCTAGAGAAAGAAACAAAAACAGGGCTGGCCAGTTAGCTCTGTTGGTTAGAGCATTCAGATTCCCATACTGTTAGGTTCAGCGAGGTGAGACAGAGAAAAAGGAGAGACCCAAGCCAGGCGCTATTTCAGCCAAGAAGCTTTATTCCAGCAGCGTGGAGGGGAGACCAAGTTAAATCAGCTCCCTGTAGTTGCCAGTCCTCTTGAGGTGTTATGTAATCTTTGTGGAGGAATGTCAAAGATATATGTACATAGAGCTGTGTGTAGGGATCCTACCAGTGTAGCACAGGGACTGGGGTTGTTTTGTCGTATGCACAAGGGAAAGAGGACTTCTTGGTAATTGGTGAGGTGGGTGAATAAGACTCCCTTTAAGATCATGGCTGTTGGGGCCGGCCTGTGGCTCACTCGGGAGAGTGCGGTGCTGATAACACCAAGGCCACGGGTTTGGATCCTATATAGGGATGGCCAGTTTGCTCACTGGGTGAGCGTGGTGCTGACAACGCCAAGTCGAGGGTTAAGATCCCCTTACCGGTCATCTTTAAAAAAAAAAAAAAAAAAAAAAAAA